TAAATATCAAAAATATAAGTCTGTTTTACTATGGCTGCAAAGATCAAAAAATTTCTGTATGTGACACGGCACCAGAGTTAAGTTAGGGTTTTTCAAAATGCTGACACACTGAGCTCAAAAGGTTCACCATCACTGCTCTAAATCTATCCATGCTGTCACAAATGGTAAGATTTCATTCCATTTTATGGCCGAATAATATTCCATCATGTATCACAAATTTTTTATCCACTCATCTATTGATAGACACCTGAGTTGCTTCCATAACTTGGCTATTATAAATGATAATGCAATAAACATAGGAGTGGATATATTCTTTCAAGTTAGTGTTTTGGGTTTCTTTGGATGTATATCTAGAAGTGGAATTGCTGGGCCATAGTTCCATTTGTAATTTTTTGAGGAATCTCCGTACTGTTTTCTATAGTGGTTGCATTGGTCTGCATTCCTACCAATAGTGCATGAGGAGATGAGTGGATTAGAAAACTGTGGTACATACTTCTATTTTTAACTTTTAGAGAAATCTCCATACTGTTTTGCATAGTGGCTTCATCAATTTGCAATCCCATCAACAATGCATGAGGGTTCTCTTCACTCCAGATCCTCACCAACACTTGTTGTTTGTTGATATTTGATGATAGCTTTTCTGACAGGTGTAAGGTGGTATGTCATTGTGGTTTTGATTTGTATTTCTCCGATGATTAGTGATGTTGAGCATCTTTTCATATGTCTATTGGAAATCTGTATATCCTTTTTGGAGAAGTGTCTATTCAGATCTTCTGCCCATGTTTTAATTAGATAGATTTTCTGGTGTTGAGTTGTATGAGTTCTTTATAACTTTTAGATATTTACCCATTATCAGATGTACCATGGGTGAATACCTCCTCCCGTTCAGTAAGTTGTCTTATCATTTTGTTGATAGTTTTCCTTGCTGTGAAAAACTTGTTAGTTTGATGTAGTCCCACTTGTTAATTTTTTAATGTTGTTCCCCTTATCTGAGGAGATATGTCAGAAAAAAAATATTGCTAGAGAAATGTTTGAAATTTTGCCTATGTTTTCTTCTAGGAGTTTTATAGTTTTGAATCTTACATTTAAGTCTTTAATCCATTGTGAGGTTATTCTTATGTATGCTGTAAGAAGGTGATCTAGTTTCAGTTCTTTTGCATGTATCTGTCCAATTTTTTAAACATCAGTTATTGATTAAACTATCCCCTCTTTTTATTCTCCTTCCCGTTTCCCCTGTTTGGACCTGCTGTTCTGTCCTAAAAACTTGACTCCTCTTTTACCCACCTCCACAAAAAAGCTCCCCCATTTAATGTCTCCCCGACTCTTTTTAATATATATATTGATTTCAGAGAGGAAAGGAGAGGGAGAGAGAGATAGAAACATCATTGATGAAAGAGAATCACTGATTGGCTGCCTCCTGCATGCCCCACACTGGGAATTGAGCCCACAACCCGGCATGTGCCCTGACCAGGAATGGAACCATGACCTCCTGGTTCATAAATCAACACTCAACCAGGGAGCCACACAGGCTGGGCTCCCAACTCTTAAGTGATATATATATATATGCAAAAAGCCTGAAGAAGCTACAAATACTCCATTCCTTGATCCCAAACTCCTGAGTCAAGACCATTTCTTGATACGTGATTAACGCCAAACACTTAGATTGCTGCATGTAGATGGATCAAGAGTACTTTAATCTCTAACGTTCGAGTAGAGAGGAGCAATGAGGGGGCCTTCCATTTTGAAAGTGGGGTTTGGAGGCCAAGAAAGGGAAGAGGAATGTATATCCAAGTCACTCAGGAACTTTTATGCAGGTTCAAGAAACTTATGCCAAAGTAGCCACAAGAGAGTTTAGGAGCCAGATGAATGTAACTCCATCTTTACTGCTGAAAACCAAAGCTTTGTGTGAAATCTCAGCTTCATGGGGAGGGAGGGTAAGAAAGCATGTACCTGTATGTTCTTCCCCTCATCCCTCCCCCTCATTTTTGTCTGCAGGACAGTAAGCCTCCTTGGACTTTGGTGACCCCATCATTAGGGACTGCTTATTTGATGGCTGATTTCACTATGAATTAGCCATTTGCAATCTATCATTTGTAATATACATACTGACCCTTTCCCTCCTCTTTTCCCTGAGAAAATAAAATGGGCAAATAAAGGAGAGGAGAGGAGAGGAGAGGAGAGGAGGGGAGGGGAGGCTGGTAGTCAGCGCACATCTCTCCCTGTCTCCTGGTCAAACTCCTGAGAGGACAATTTGCATATTAGCCTTTTATTATATAGGATTATTAATATAGTCTGCATAATAACTCTTTTGATTAGAAATCACTTTCCTTATCTCTCAGTTGAGGAAATTAAGGCTCAAGAGGTGAAGTGACTCATGCAAGACACACGACTATTAAGTTGTGAAATCAGTATAGAAGAGACTGACATAAGAACATCCCAAACAGCCAAGTG